GCTTTGATGCTGTCAGTTGTTTCAGCCTGTGACCCCACTTCACTTTTGTGTTATCTTAAATGGCTCCACGCCCTTAGGAAAGCTTCCTAGCCTCTCTTGACAGAGTGCTAGTAGGTGTGCGTTGTGGTGTTAAGTATGGTGCCTGAAAAATTGTTTGCTAGTTGTACTAGACCACTGATGTTTTCCTTCCCCCCTCCCCCCTACCTATTTTTTATCTCTTTTCTTCTCACCCCCTGGGCATGCTACGCTTATTTACAAATATACTTAAATATGCAGTGCTTCAGTGAGCCAACTACAATCTGAAATACTGAGTACCCTGGCAGCCTACAGAATCCTTCTGGCAGATCTTGGTAGACCGGTTAGCACAACTGTTTCAGATTGATTAATCTATGTAATGTATTTTGTTATTTTAGCCATCTGCATATTTTTTAAAATACTTTTCTTAGTTTTTTTCCTCCTTTGTTCTCTTTCTCTTGACCTGTGAAAACCTTGTTGAATTATGGAAACATTATATAGAGAATTGTAGCTCTTTGTCAAATGATGCCCATTGACCTTCAAGTGCCTATAAATTTGAAGTGAGATTTACTTTAAAATATTAAGATAAATATTTTAAGGAAAAGAATAGGCTTTTTATAGCTCTTAAGTGTTAAGAATGAAAAAAGTTAAATTGCTTTTGAACTTGAAATAGCTGTAAAATTCAAGAACTGATAGAAGTTGTTATTAAACATGCATCAGTTGTTTAGTAGTTGTAGTATGTTTATTTTTAAACAATTTCTGTTAAAGATAAATATTCATCTCATGCTGTTTTGTAGTGTCAAGGTGTCAGCCTAAAAAGGTGTCCAGATAGAAGATACTTTTTAACATCCTTGTAGTTGCAGTTGCTGATTCTAGGAAGTGTAGATTTCAGTCTAAATTTTTAAACATTGAGTGGATGGATGCAATTTCATTATCTGATTATATTGTTATGCCTCCTAAGCCTGTATTAAGAAGTCAGCAGCATTTTAAAAAAAAGTTGTTTCTAACCCAGTGCTACTTAAAACCTTTTTGTCTACTTCACAGTAATGTGACTTTAGAGTCTTTTGGGGAATTTCTTAAAACAACTGTGTTGTTGCCTGTGAGAATTTTTTTTAATGTAAGAACGAATGTTATTTTTAAAATCTCTCAATAAAGAAGTGGAATAGTTAAGGTAGCTACAGTGCTATTAATTTAGACTGGATGTGTATGACACTTCTAAGTTTTTTTGCAGTTGATAATATGAAACACTTCAGTGAGATAAAATGGGGAAAAAAATACTGAACTCTACAACTGCAACAGAAATAGGCCGTGCCAGGTATCTCTCTTCCCAGTGTTCTCTGGTTTTGTGTGTTTGTTTTTTTTAATTTACTTTCTCTTACTCTCTTGATTTTAATTTCACAGTTGAGCTGGAATACAGTAACTTGTAGCACTTAGCCTGGAATAAATGAGAGGCGGATGCCGCCTTGATTCCTTGCTGCGGAGCCAGCGGGGCTGGGTGCTTTATGGACAAGATGCGCCCCACCCATAAGGCAAGGAACAATATGAGGTTGTGCGTGATCTCCGTAGGCGATTTTGAGGTTTGTGATGACTAGCTTACAACTTGATGCATTTTAACCTCGTTAGTTAGAAGGTCAGTTGTCACAGAACCTGTTCGTTGGGAATATTTGCAAATTCTTGAAATTTTTGGCAAACCTTCCCAGGAGTGGCCCAAGCACAAGTGTAGAACAGTGTTGCAGATCACTCAAAGCAGAAGTACATCTCCTTTCTCTCCTGCTCACTCAGGTATAACACAGACTTCAGATTTGACTTGTGCTAAAGCTGCAGCTCTGGGAAGTGGCCTGTAGAGTCTCAAACTATTGATAAAATTCTGTCATTTATGTGTGAGTTATAAGAAAACTGTAGTTGCTCAGTTCAGTTATACTTTTCATCCTATTTAAACGCAAACCGCTTACACATTAAATGTTTGCACAGACATTTAGGCAGGTGTTGTCTATGTATTTTGATTTGAAATAGTGATTCTGGAGTTATCGCTGTTTTGTTCTAGAGACTGAGAAAACACTGCTAGATGTCATAATTTGTTATTTTAGCTGTTTAAACTCAGTGTACTCGTTCAGTTTTCATTTATACTGCAAAATGTTTCATTTATGGTATGAACATTTAGATTCCTTTGCGCATTTTCAGTTAATTGCAAAACATTCTAAAGAATTAAGTTTGCTTAAGACATATGAACTGTAACTATTCTCATTTTCAGAGCCAGAATTTCTCAAAAATAGTGAGTATTGGACATAAGGCTGCTACTCTGAAGAAAAACATAAACAAGCTATGCTAGAAACTGTGCAGCCTCCAAGGAGAGCGCAAAATTATTCTCTGCTTCTTGATTTACCAGTAAAACTACCTATCTGTAAAATATTCAGTAATGCTGAAGCATCCTAGCAATAAGCTTGTGTGGGGCTGAATACTTAGCTTGTGGATTCGACTCTATTGTTGCATACTTTTTGAGTAAGAAACACAAGGATTTCATGGAAGTCCAAGAAAAAGAAAAGCTGTAAGACATCAGTAAGAGCATTGGTGTACTACTGACAGTAAAAGATGCCACGTGAAGGTGGTGTTGTATGTTCTTTTTTAATCATACCCATTAATGTCTCTCCCTCTTACAAAAGTAAGCTGTCACAACTACTGAGAAGTTGCATTTTTTATTTTGTTCAGCCTGCTACCAGTGGAAGATGACTTTAGCCTCAGTTGTTAGCATGGTAATGCTGGTTTGACCTTTGTAGTATAGCAGTACGTGAGCAGGGTCATTACTGGCTGTCCTTTGCCAACCTGCCAGGTAAAAAATGCTTTATTCCAGTGTGTTCATTCAGTTCATTCTTGGTTAGAATTGCTTGAAGACAGCAGGTCACATCATAGATCATATCAGCTTGTGTCCTGATGGCACTGAATGATCTTTCTCATTCCAGCCAAATACATATTTACATCACCTTCTACTGTTTTGAAAAGTGTGTTTTGATGTTCTCTCACTTTTTGATTAGAAGGGAATGTTTAGTTCTGCTGGGTGTATTTGGAGACAGGGAGAGAGAATCTGGGTGTCTGCACAGTTACTGCAAACTAAGTTATATGTGTTTGAGGCGTTCCACTTGTTATTCAGATGGTGACCTTGTTGAGGTGACATGCTTCTTGCACAGTTACATTCCTCAGGGGAGGAAATGCTGACTCTAGCACCAGCATTTCTTTCTTCTGTGCCTTTCTTTAAACCTGAGTGTAAAATGAACATTAGAATTCAATTGTAGTTTTTTGTTCATCCCAATTCAAGTGTTAAGTGGAAAGAAAGCTTGATGCCAGAGCAAGAGGCCTTTCTTTTGATTCAGTTGACTTTTTTTTTTTTTTTAAATTCAGATGTGTTTCCCTTATTGAAGACTGACTTTGTTGGAGACTAGCCAGTGTTTTTCACTTGACATAAACTGGCTGCTCTAGTTGGTGACTGGCAGTTAAAGATCCTTCAGGTGTTTGTCAAGCTGTTTACTGGCTGTACTTGAGCAATAAAATTATGTCAGCTGGTGTCATATTTTAGAGCAGCTGCTATAGATGGCCACCAACAAGTGGCCTTTTAGAGTAAGATTCATCTTGTCTGGTTTCCAAAATTCAACCGAGTTAGTTGTATGCATTCACTTTATAGTTGATGGAGAGAAAATGACATTTACAAGTTCTGTTTTTCCTCGCCTTGGAGTAAAAATCTGCAGTCAGATAAATTATTCTTCAGAAACGACTGTCTCCATTAACTAAACTATCTGGGGACTGCTTGCAAGGTTGTGAGGATAACATATTCCTGCTCATTTCTCCCTGACTTTCCCTAGAGATTGGTATAGAGTGCAGTGCCTACAGAAAACACTTACAGACCTTCAGTGGGCATTTGTATAAATGAAGGGCTTAATAGCTGATGGTCTAGACCAGTTGCCTTTTATCCTGTTTGTACTTCTCAAGAGACAGATGAGATGCTTGGAGACTTTGCTTCAGAGGTGACAGAAAGCTTCTGATCCTGAAAATGGCAGGTGGCTTGCAATGCCAGGTGAGGCTGAGGCATGAAGTGGTGACTACCTGTAGATATTTCTGTCTAAAAGTGTGTTCATGAATTGAGCAAGCACAAGAACTTGCCTCTTATAAGGGACATGATTTGAGCATTAGGTACAAAAGCAGGTAGTTCTTCCTTTAGGATTAGGAATTAGGATCTTGTATTTGTCATAGCTTTTTATTTGAAGGAGACTTTTCACAGGCAACTAAATACTTACTCTGTGCTGGAAGTTAATAAAGGTTAACTGTGTATTTTCTACTTGACTTTATTTACTTCTGTACCATTTCTCTCTTTGTCTCCCCCACCAAAATACCTTTCCCCGTTTTCCCTTTTTTTTTTCCTGTCATAATAACAGTATTTCTGGAGAACTTCCTTTAACCTGTTTTAGTAAGTATCATAATTAACACTGTATTACAAATGGAGTTTTATTTTTCTTTTAGTTGAACATGGTTTACATTTTTTTACTAGTATCATGTAGCTAACATGTATCTATAGAACAGTACACTAATTATACCATACATCAGTTAGTGAGCAGAAATACTTTGTCATCATCTTCTGCTTATTGTTGGTAAATACTTTTATCTACTGAAGGCTTTTTGTTTGCTTATTTTATCTATTCCTTATCCTTTATTGAATGTTTTGCCAAGAGAGGAAATAAACTCTGTCAAACAAACCAAAATTGTTTTATTTCTTATCTTTTTCTTCCTTGTTGTTTTTGATCTGTAACAAGCATGCAGTTTAGAAGGCTTATCTTTGCAGTGTTTTTTGTAAGCACTTAATGTTTATGAAACACAGTGAGCCGATTTCTTTTGAACTCTACAAATAAATTTTAAAATAACTTGGAAAGACACGCAAACCTAGGAGCTATGCTGAATGATTTTGAGGAAGCAGATTCTAAACTGAACCCTTTCTTTTGCAGGCCCAGATTGCCTTTCTTCAAGGTGAAAGGAAGGGACAGGAAAATCTGAAGAAGGATCTAGTGAGAAGAATCAAAATGCTGGAATATGCACTTAAGCAGGAAAGGTATGCTACTTTAGTGATGAGCACATAATGAAGAAATTCTGAATACTTTATTTCTCTTCTTTATTTTAAAAAAACAAGAAATACTTTTTCTGTATATACTCAGTTCTCAAATGGACAAATAATATTATACTAAATAAAACCAGTAGTCTAAATATCTGCATTATAGTAAGAACAATAGCTAACATTATACTGCTACAAAACATGCTAATAAAACTCATCGTTGATCAATAAAGAATACTTTTTCCTTGGTAAAATTCCACCTAACTGAATAGATTGTACCTCAGAATTACCATGTATTCCCTTTTTGTTCAAAGTACTAGCTTTGTTTAATATGTGACAACTGAAATCTTAACTGTTTTCAGTCTAGTAATTACTAGCTTTTAATCTTGCTAAGTTTTTTGTCTTTTCAATATGAAAGACTCTACAGAAATATCTTCTGGAAACTAATTGTGTGAGGGACAAGCTGGAGAGATGGTCTGATTCCAACAGGATGAGGTTCAACAAGGTCCAAGTGCTGGGTCCTGCACTTTGGCCACAACAACCCCATGCAGCGCTACAGGCTGGGGCCAGAGTGGCTGGAGAGCAGCCAGGCAGAGAGAGACCTGGGAGTTTGGATTGACAGGAAGCTGAACATGAGCCAGCAGTGTGCCCAGGTGGCCAAGAAGGCCAATGGCATCCTGGCCTGTATCAGGAACAGTGTGGCCAGCAGGACCAGGGCAGTGGATAAGTTGTGTATCTAGTTTATTTTATGTAATTAAATGAGTAGGAACTGTTCTACACTGTAATATACTCAGTGCTGGTGAGGCCACACCTGGAGTACTGTGTTCAGTTCTGGGCCCCTCAGTTCAGGAAGGACATTGAGGTGCTGGAGCAGGTCCAGAGAAGAGCAACAAGGCTGGTGAAGGGACTCGAGCACAAGTCCTATGAGGAGAGGCTGAGGGAGCTGAGGTTGTTCAGCCTGGAGAAGAGGAGGCTCAGGGGAGACCTCATCACTCTCTACAACTCCCTGAAAGGAGGTTGTAGCCAGGTGGGGGTTGGTCTCTTCTCCCAGGCAACTATCAGTAAGACAAGAGGGCATGGTCTTAAGCTGTGCCAGGGGAGGTTTAGGTTGGATATTAGGAAGAAATTCTTTACAGAGAGGGTAATCAGGCATTGGAATGGGCTGCCCAGGGAAGTGGTGGATTCACCGTCCCTGGAGGTTTTTAACATGAGAGTAGATGTGGCATTTAGTACCATGGTCTAGTAACCATGGTGGTGTTGGATCAAGGGTTGGACTTGATGATCTCGGAGGTCCCTTCCAACCCGGCTGATTCTATGATTCTGTGTTCATGTTTACCAGTTGATCAAGTTCTATTTTTTTGTTCATGGGGATTTTCAGTAGAAGTCCCCAGTTTACTTTATTCCTACCTATACTTTCCTGTTATTATAATCTTTGAGGCAAACAAGTTGGGTTTTTTAATCATGTTTTCAGAAATCTCTCTGCTCAACCAATTTATTTTAGGCCAAATTTAGTTATATTTTTTTTTTAGTAGTAAAATGTAATTTTAAATTCTTGAATAAAGAGTACGTTTATGTTACTACTGCAAAACAATAATTGCTTACATACCATTTTCCTATCAGATAATTCCTGCTTCTCTTTAATAAAATACTAATAAAATAAAACTCTCAAATAGTTTGTGTTAGTAGAAATAATATTTAAAATATACACATTTGCAAATGGCGATTAGGATATTGCTGCTAGATAATTTAAAATGGATGCTATTGGTTGTGCAACACTGTATAGCATTTAGATTTACTCATCTTTAGCAGAAGACATGCCTTTGACCATCCAGTTCGTCTCTTTCTGGTAGGAATCAATTCATCTGCTAACATGGAGCTGCAACCAGTTTTCTGACCAGCAGTAGCCTCAGGGCTCCAGTATACTTGCTTCCCCTTTGGGGAGTTCTTGAAGGAATGCTTAAGGTAGATACTCTTTTTGCCCAGGCACTGGGTACTGATCTTCTATCATCTAGCAAGAAAAATATCAAATGTATGCATAATGGAGATTGCAGATTATTGCTATAGAAAGGCTTACATTTGAGGCATGATTGCAAGGCTTAGAGTCACATAAGAGACAATTGAGTATGTTCTTGTTCAGTTAAAGATATACTCTAAGTTATATATATTCTGTGATGATTTCTTGTATTTCAAAACTGAGGGAGCTATTCCTGGTTACTTAAAGACATCTCTAGTACTTCATGTTCATAACCAAGACAAATTGGCAATCAAAAATTATCAAACTATGTTAATACATTTCTGTGTGCTATCAGAGAAACTTTGTAACCTTTAAAAAAAAATCAAAAATTAAACTCCCATATGGATAGTGAAAATGTTCCCCAGTTTTAATCTGTAAAATCCACCTAAATTGTGACATTTAAAGTCTAGAGCAGTAGTCCCTGTCAGGATTAGGAAAAAACACCTGCCTTCTTATTAGCAGGTTGTATATTGGTATCTTCTATCTTTTGTTGTATGTTTTTCTGCGGTGTATGGCACTAGCCTTTGTTACTCAGGTCAGTAGGCTGCTGTCAGCTGGTCTGATCCAGTGGGACAGTTTCAGTACCGGTGTGTAATGGTTCTGTAAGTAAATGTGATGCTTGTGACTGGTGTGTCCTAGAGACAGCTATTTATGAGTTTGTGGTTTTAAACAGCAGTTTTATTTGCCAGTTTCTGAAGAAAAAGTCTTGTATTTCTGCTGGAAGTGTCTCCCAGCAAGTGTTCTTGCTTGATACTTCAAAGAATGGCAACATGCTGAGCTTGGAAGCACTGGTCTCTTTCCCAGCATTTTCCTAAATCAGCTGTCAGCCAGGTCAGGCCGTAGTCGGTTGCAATGCTGGCTTTTTCCACTGGGATCTCAGAGCTGGTAAATGAGATCCTACAAGGTAGGAAGAAGACATTTCTGTCAAGTTAGGGGAAGGTTGATGCGGTGTGAGGGGGCAGGGAATCATTCTTGTATTCCTTCATTTCTGTCCTGGGCTTACCGTATACCAAATGTTTCTCAGTTAGATGAACTAAGTTATGAGTAGTGGGACAGAATATGAAATTCTGGCACAGAGGACTCCCATGTTTGCAATGCCCTTAGGAGAAGGTGCCATTGGTTTTCTCAAAAACATGCTTTTATGAGCTCCTGTTCTTTATAGTGGGTGTTCAGCATTTCTTTTATCAACCAAATGGTTTCAAATTTTAATATAAATAAACAACTTCATAAGCATTATTGTTATTCTCTATTTCATGTCGTGTCATTTTGTGGTGGGTGAGGTAGAAAATTACTTACTGATTGTCATGGTTTTCTGACAAATGTAGTTTAATGTTTGACCTTTATTTTAGTAATTGTGAGATTACCTTTTTGTCGTGTGCATAGGAAGGCTGATTATTTTTGCTGGAGTCTTAATAGACTAAAGAGCAAAGAGCTTAGAAGGAGCTGATGTGTAGTTGAGTCTAGCATTTTTTCAACAGTAGTTTTGATGTAGTTTTGCCAACACCCAGTAGATTGCAGTGTGAGGCTGCTCACAGTTAAGGGTTACTTTTTATGACTTTATCAGTACTTACTCCCCCACCAGTAAATTGCATTGTTGCCTCTGAATTTTCAGGAGCTAGCTGAAATGTGGTACTGTTTCTCTCAAGTACATGTCCTATTTCACTTAGTCTAGCTCGCTTCCTGTCTTAACATATTTCAACCAAAGAACTGGACTCCTGAGCCATGTCTCTAGAAACACTTGATTTAATTTTATGTTGTTTTCTGCGCTGGTGTGTCTGATCAGTGTAAGGCTGGCGCCTTCTACCCTGTGTAGAATATCTTGCCGTGCTGTTCCTGGCAGTCATTCTTGTTTATGTCTCTTGATTTGGCGTCAGCTCCCAGATCTTCTACGGATGTTTTGGCAGGCTCCCTCAGCACAGCTGGATTAGATGCTTCAGGTCTGGCGACAGATATTTCCAAGAAATAGTGGCCTGTTTTGATTGGGGTCAGACTTTTTTCTGTGTGAAGTATTCAGAAAAGTTTCACTGCTCTTAGTCTTAGGAAATTTAGAAGGATGACAGCTTTTGGCTTTTTCCTAAGTAGCTCTTAAAATGTTGTGGCAGCCATGTTGAATGTCTCCAAGCACTGTTTGCATAGAAGACACATAGTTCAAAGAAAATACTGCTAATCAAAAAAGGAGAATTGTGTAGTGAAAGGCAAAAGCCAAAGCAGTGCCAATATTCATTCTTATCTTAGTGAGGGCATCTACCCAGCAATGTATTTTCACAGTACCAAAATATCTTTCTTCCAAACAACTTGAAGGCTAGTTTTCAGATGGAAAATACCTTCTATGAAGTTGTATCCTTCAGGTAGTTATTTTCAAGTAATTTCTCTGTCTCTGCATACTGCTAATGATCCATATGTAATGGAAGGTAAATCATTCAAGTTGAACAAGTTCAGATAATAAATCTTTGTGACTTGTTTCCCTTTTTCTTTCCCCCAAACCACTTGTTTTTGACCAGGTGATGCAAAGGTTGGAGAAACATTGATTTTACTTCATACTTATTTACACAAAAAAAGACTTCTTCTCTTTTTTGTGATGATGGTATTGCACTGCTGTGAACTGCAGAAGGCCGTTTTAAAGCTGTTAATAAGTGACCTGTGTGATTTCTGAAAAAGTGAAATTAGGTGTGACAGGTGGGCAGAAGATGTTATTATAGAAATAGATTAAATTAAAATGTGCTAATGAAATAAGCTATAATCAGAATTTGTTTAGAAAAGAATTCAAGGTTATTTTGTGAGAAGTTTGATAACCTTTGATTACAATATGTATAACTGAATGGTCAAGACTCTACCTTCCAGTCTTGGTGTCTGAATCACGGTTTTCAGCCCTTTTCTTAGTGTTCTTTAGAAAGAAGATTGTTTCTCTTTCATACCTGTGATATTTTCAGCTGTACCATAAAAAAGTTTCTGAAAATAAATCTCATACTTGCTTCTTGAAGAAGTGTAGAAAATACTTCCTTGATGGACTGTTAGTGATCTATATTGATTTTATGGGATTTTTTTTTTTAATATTCCTCTGAACTTTAGAAGCATACTGTAGCTGAAGATAAGTTCACTGAGTCAAGTACTGTGACATGATACTCATGCTTCTGTTTCAAGTCTGTGACTTGCTCAGACACAGGAATTTGTACTAAATTATTTTAATTCAGGTTTGACTGTAGCATTGGGGGTTTTTTTGTCATTTTGTGCTTTTTGTTTTTAACTTTCCCAGCAATATTGAAAATAAGTATTTGTTTTTTGGATTTTCAGCTCTTCAGTTACCTCTCTGTTGGAAGAACAACCTCTCCGGTTCTTCTGCCTTATCTGTAGTGCTACTGATCTCTGACTGTGATATACAGAGTTAGATCTTCCAAAAGATGAAATCTTAGTCCAGTTTGACCTTAAAATAGATTTAAGGGCCAGTGGTGTACAAGACCATGTAATCTGCATTATCCTCTTGAAGTAAAGAATAACAACAAAAGCTTTAAAAGCTGTTGCATTATGAGGTGCAACCAGTTACAAAAACCTGCTATTAACAGTTTAAAATGTGAATAGAATGAAAAAGTCTCATTTTGTTGAACTGACTTTATAATGCTTTTACTAAGAGGAAAGAAGACTATTACTGGTGATTTAAGAGGGAAAGAAATTTAAAAAATGAGCATACATGGATTTAGGAGATGGAAATAAATATACTGAGAAGTTTAAAAATCTGCAGACTGAATCTTTAAAAGATGGATTTTGGAGAACATGTGAGAGATCTGAGGAAAAGGAAATGTACAAGGAATGATCCTTTCAGTGAACCTAGCAAATATTTTACTTAAGTAGGAAATTATTAACAAAAACCTGATAAGAAAATTAGTGAATGCTTAGAGCATAGGGGAACTCTGCGTAAGACCGATGAACTAAAAGCAAATGCTACAAAAACTAACTGCTTTCTGAAATTATATGAAGGAATTGAGTAGAACACAGCATATGTCAGTAATCCAGATTAAAGTAGAGTATTAATATTTGATATGTTAAGTCAAATCAAAATAGATTAAACAGTAAGGTCACTTGAATTCATGACTGTATAAAAAAATTGTAATGTTTAAAGTTGGTGAGGTAGGATGATGATAGAGTAGAGGATTTCCTAATTCTTGATTAATCATTACTTTTTATTAGTGATGGTGAGGGAAAAAGTAAACATAACCTCAGTATTAAACAATAATATTTTACCAGGGTAACATCTCTCTGCTGGTGAGGTGTAAGAAACAGATAGTTGGAAAAGGAAAAATAAATATTTTGATTGAGCATTCAGCTTTGATTTTGTTCTGTTCTTCGTTTTTTCTTTTCTGTACTGACCAGAATGTTTAACCTTCACTTATTGCTGTTAATACATTCCAAGTGCATCCTTTCTCCTTTCCTTGATGGTTGCTGCTCAGCTGAGTTAGTGCTCTGGCTCTTGAGGAGTTGGTTCCTTTGTTTGTCTATGTTGCTACACCTAAGAGGCACTTCTTCACTCTTCACTTACCCTTCTCATTCAGAGTTAGATGTTTATTATCATTAAAATGCAGTTGGATTAGTAGGAAGCTAGTACTGTCAATACTGAAGCATAAGAACTACCAAGCATCAGTTCCCTCAGCACCATTTTGTTAGAAATAATGAGTTTTCTTGGTGAAATAAGAAAAGGCAAAAGAAAACAGTAATGCAATGAGTTTGAGAAACAACCAAGAGGTGTATGTAACAATCAAGAGGTGTAGGTAACTTGAAAACATTTTCTACAGTTGTTCTTTATACAGTCATTCGAGCTTAGCAAGACTTGCCTCATACAATTACAAAGTGTCACACCTGTTAATTTTCTAAAAAACAAATTTTGAGTGGAAGAATTCCCTTGTGACTAGTAGAATTAATGCACTCATTTTCATGTTGGTGTATTTGAGAGGGTTTTTTATCTTTTGTAGCCTGTGTCTTGCTGCCCTACACCTAGCTCTGTACATTTGCATTGGAACTGTGTGTATGTGTGTATTTGATGTTTGTCCCACTACTGCCAGGCTGCACAGTCAGCATTTTCTGAGTTCTCTGCCTTTTGTTCTGGGTAGGAACTAGAATAAGTGCCACTCTTCTACCCAGTTGTGAATGTCTGCAAAACTTTATAGGGCATCAGGATTTTGTTTTGAGTTGTCTAAATTTTCATATTTGGCAGAAAACAATCTTATAAAATTACAGTGAGTGTGAGAGAAGGAGGGAACAGACTGTGAAAGTAGCTAAGGCTTTCTTTGCCTCAGTTTCTCTATTATGGTGATGTAAGACTACTCTAATGAATCTTGGAGAATTTATGTGTGCATTTGCAATCCTATACTGATGTGGTGTTATTTTGTGTATTTAAAAGTCTTTACTGACTCTGTAGGATGAAGCTTTTCAAATTAAAAAGCGTTTCCTTTTTTTTTAAATAGCTACTCTTGTCATTATATGGCATACTTTGTGGGGTTTATTACATTAGGCCTTCTGAAGGCTAAATACTTTTGGAAGAGAAGTCTCGATTTTGCACTTGGTCAAGTGACAGATGTAGCAGCTTTGAGAGAAACTGGGGTAGGTGAGCTGTCACTGCTAAATCTCACTTATAAAAGTTCTAAATGAGAGCTTGCTGCATTTCGAAGAATAAAACTAAGGTTTGCTTAATGGAGGTGACAATATGAGATATGAAGTAGGTGGTGCTGAACTGACATGGATAGTAAAAAATGTTTCACAGTGAAACACTGGAGGAGGGAAGCAGAAGAGTAGCTTGTGTCCACAGGGAGGGAACCTTTTCTGTAGCAAGAACATTTTGTAAAATCTGCAGTCTACTGATCCCTGTGTTTCATCACTATTCACTTTGCATGTAAACCTCGGAAAAAATAATTAAACAAAATCACTTATCGGAAGTTGTGGTCAAATGATTTGTTTTGTGTTGTTCCTAGACTGGAAGAAAGGAATGGCTTTTCAAGTGAAAATTGGTGACATTTGTGTGTTTAGAGATACCCTTTATATGTGCTAATAGTTTTTTTTTTCCATTTTTTTTCCTTTGTTTTCTTTCAGGGCTAAATATCACAAATTAAAATATGGCACAGAATTGAATCAGGGAGATATGAAGCCACCAAACTATGATTCTGGTAAGAATTTATTAAACATTAGTTCATTACTGGCATAAAAACATAACTACAGTTTGTGCAAATGCTGAATTGATAGTGTTGATAAAATAAGTTGCTAAATGGAAGCAGTGAGAATAGAGGTAATTAATAAAGACTGTATTTTACTCTTGTACAATTAAAAATAATGCTAATGCTCTAAAAGAGTCTATTAATAAATCAAATTAGTTTAGATTTAAAAAAAATCCAAACCCAAATGAAAAATCTACTCTTAGAGATTAGTTTTTTCTCTCCCTTAGTAATGTGTATGGATATTTTAGAACAGGATGATACTAGATTTGTAGCTGTAGAATCCTTTTATCTTTGGATAATTTATCTGAATGAAATATATAGTACATAATGTTTTGTTCAATTACCTCAGTGATATTTCAGGAGAAAAATAATGAAAGTACATATTAGACATAAGTGAGAGTTTGTGAGTGGGGGATTTATTTAGAGAATTCAAATCATCATTGGATCTGCATTCAACTAACTTCAGTGTAATGCTGTAAGAGGACAGTTTTGTCCCTTGGACTCTGGAAAGCTGATTTACTTTCATAGAGTTTTCATCTCCTACTTCAGACAAATAGATATAAGCACTGAACTTGAGGAATTAAGAATTTAAATTATTTCCTTTTATCCCTCTATCTCCCTACCTTTCCTCAGAAAAAAAAGAAGAGGTACAGAGATTTGGTTACAGGTCAAGCTATTGAAAGAAGTAATAGGTGATGTTTTTTGTATCTTAGTCCCCTGATACTCTTACTAAAACGAAATTGGAGCCCCTGTACATAAAGGTAGATCATAGAAGGTCTGCAGACCTCAACTTTGTCACTTGGTTTGTGGAGGGGATGGTCTGGTTTGCTGTCATGGTTAGTTCTTACCTCATTAGTTTTAGAAGGTCATTAATAAAACTCTAAACAAACAATAAATCCAACCCCACACCAACTGCTAAAACTTTATACCAGGCTCTTCTTGTTCAAGTTATAATGGATTCTTGAGATATTTTACTTCATGTTATTATCAAGGTTGTTTCCTTAACTGAAGAAATACTTAATTTGGTGTTACTAAGTGGAAGACTCCAATCTTTATTTGGACCATTAGAAAACCTTGTTCTGACCATACTAAAATCCTAGACAACTATTTATTTTTTTGTAATTTCTCAGAATGCAGCTATAGCATGTTGCTCCAGTTTCCAGGGGAGGAATGTCATGCAAGGCCTGTCTTGAGAGCAAAATGAACTTTAGTGCAATTACTTTTGTTAAAATTCCATTATCCTCATTTATCCCATTGTATTCTATATATGTAGCTATCAGAAATGTATACTTTTGTTCTATATTAAATATGGACTGATTAGTGATACACTTAAAGTAGAAACTTTGTTATAGAAACTTTGTTATAATGCTCCTTTGAAGTTGTCTTTGATAGATACTTAGTTGAATGTCCATGTATTTTCACTGCTCTGTCCCTGGTTTTCCTGCCCAGTCATGAAAAAATGTGAAAGTGTTTGTAGCAGTTCTTCCAAATGGGTCCTTTTTGATTGTTTTCTTTATAATCACTTGGGAATCAGTAACACAATTTAGAAGAAAAGAGTTCCATCTCCTGGTAAAGGGATGCCTTTTTTAAAAAAAAATTATACTATTTGTGATACCTTCTGCTATTATTTGCTTATGATGCAAGTCCCTCCTTTGTTATCCATGAACCATTGTCACTGCTAGTGGTCATCAGATTTGAGGAGACTAAGCACAAGAGTATTCTTGCCTGTGGATGTAGTTAATAGTGCCTTCAGAAGAAGGGTTTTTGCTTTCCAAAGGAATTTTCAGGCAGATTTACCTCAATCATCTTTTAATAATTATAGACTGAGCTTTGGTAGCTGTGCTTCAGATCCAACTGTGTTCAGTTGTCATTGGAAAATTATTGTGCAATTGATTATTTCCTGTGGTTACTATTAAATGAATTTGTGAATTCAAGAGGGCTAAAACTCATATGGCTCTCCTTGCATGTGAATTCTGATCAATCTTTGATAGTTTCTTTGGGTAGGTGTTGGGATTTTTTTGTGTGTGGCATTAATTCAGTTTAAAGGTAAATGGCTTCCTGATGAAAATAACAGCTTTCCCACATCCCATATCAGGTTACTCATAGGATTATACTAGAGGTTTTTCTTGTTCTTAATTTTTGTTTACATAGGAAGATTGTTCATCCTTCAGTGTTTGGACCACAAGGTTTTCAAGTTTTATAGTGGTTTTCATAGACAATAAATCAAGATCTCTTATCTTGGGAAGAATATGCATCTCCTGGAGGACAATAAAAGAACCTCACCATTGTGTAGTTTGAAACTATACATGCAGTCAACACATAGCTGTTTGTTGCCAACATTCAGATAGTTTTCTTACCAGAGCAGTGAAATTATTTTTTTTGTAGATTTTTCTAGGGTAGTAACATTTGCATACAAATTTATGGTTGGGGAAAATGTCATGAAAATTTTTCAATAGCTTTTCAGTTACAAAATAAACAAACAATCCCTACTGTTTGCTTGTTTATTTCCTTCTACAAAACTAATACAAATAAGGATGAATTTAAATTGAGCAGGTCTGTTTGTTTATGTCGAACTGTCAAGGTGAGTTGAAAATCGATGTCATGCTGCAGTTGCATTTGATATCGTTAGCAGTTAAAATATTTGTATTCAAACTTAATATGAGCAGCAGTTATTTTTGAAGGCTAATGCAAAAATGGAACTTGAGATTGTTTATGTCATTATGTACCCTGAAAGAAAAAGTATTAGATGGGACTTGGGGATGTGAGACCAAAGGGAAGGCATGAATGACTAGTGGAACTTGCTCTCATAGAACAGGATGTTCCTGGCAAATTTTATATGTATGTAGTACTACAATTATGTGCTATGTGCATTTTTTTATCTCTTGATTATTGGCACTTTGAATTTTTTTTTTTAGTTAAACCATTCCTAATCATTTTAAGACAGATCACATTTGTCTTTGTAAGTGGATGGGCATCTTTTATGAAAATAGGAAAAGGAAAAAAAAATTAATAAAATAATCTTTTTCAGATGAAGGGAATGAGGCAGAGATTCAACCACAACAGAATAGTCAGCTAATATGGAAACAAGGACGACAACTGCTAAGACAGTAAGTGTTGAAAAAAGGACTCAGATATTGAATGCAAAAGAACAAATCTGGTATTGAAATGTGATTTTATTAGATTTTATTGAAAGAAAAGTTAGTGTGCGTGATGAAGTTCAATCAGCTCCTGCCCTGCTTTTCCTTGGTTTTTGAAACATTTCAGTATTTCAGAACTTCAGGTGAGAAGCTTTGTCAAATCACAAATGCCTGATCTCATTTACTTTTCTTTCAATGAGTATAATCGAACAATTTGCTTGGGAGAACAGTGGGTCATGGCACCTTGCAATTAAAAAGCAACACACACAAGTAGTTCTGCTAAGATCAGAATTTTATTGTGTAAAATAAAAACAGCTAGCACTGGAGAGGGAAAACTTTTATTTTTGCCCGTTTGAGGTGCAGAAAAGAGTAACATCCAAGAGGCTAGACGAGACATTTTATAATTCTCAGTTCATCTGAATGAAGCAAATGTCTATAAATCTAAATTGGTTTTTGAATTGTGATCATAATGAATAAATTAATTGCTAAGATATTTAGTGTGTTACAAAGGATTAAATGAGAGGGGTGTGAATCAATAAGGACAGTCTGGAGCTTATATAAAAGGACCTTTTTCCAAGGAATTGTTCAGAAGTTAAATTTGTCTGTTGGATGGCTTATACATGCTTTTCTTTTGCAAGAGCTCAAATCTTTACATGAATGTTGGATAAATGTAAATAGAGTGGTCTTGACTTGGATCAGTGAGTCTGAAGACAAGTCATTCCTTCTCAGTGCAATTCATGAGTGACATAATGCTGAATAGAGTGCATATTACCAACAGACTCTGTTTTGCATAGGTGACTTTTTTGATTTTTCTATAGCCAACCATGAGTATTTCCTAATGTGGTTATGTGAATGATATTGTTAAATAATTGGAGGAGAATGTTCTTGCAGGAAGAGTGCATGTCCTTGATTTGTAACAGCTGTTACTGTAAGATAGCATTTCCCTTCTTTAGAGTTGTCTAGAATATTAACCATTTAATCACTTCAGTGCTATTAACTCCAGATTCTGGAGGGAAGGGCAGAGACCAATTTTTAATTTTTCTTTTTTAAATCATATATTCCTCCTGTTTCCCTCAAAGGCAATATGGAATATTGATGAAAGAACCAACTTTAGACCTAAAGAGCCAACTTTAGACCTTGAGGTTTTCATACAAGGATACTTGCTGCCCAGCCTTTATAGGGACGACAAATTAATATTTAGCAGATCCATTGCAGAATAAAGGAAAGACAAAGATTTTATCGAGCCTAGTGCATCATAAATAACAACTCTCACTAATAGCTACAACTATAGAGTTTGGGTTTTATTTTCTCTGTTTTCTAGGCTTCTAATAATGTTTATATTGGAACATATCTGATACTTCTTATATCTAGTTTCCATGTATCGAGGAATAAAATGACCATGTTGTACATACAACTGTGGTGATTTTTATAAAGCAGTTGTAAATATTTTAATTGAAAGTGCTTTTCCACCCATTTTAGTAAATGAATGAATAACGTATTGTATAACCTCTGACTGCTAGGCTTCTCAGTGACTGTAGAGGCTGGTACTGCAAGAGGCAATCCCTCTGCAGCTGGTACAGGATGATTTATAAGCATGTTTCATTAGCTCAGCACCACCCTTTGCTAAGCTAAGGGGTTGAAGATGAGTTTAGGCAGAAGTTTTCATTTACTGTTTTTGGATAAGTGGGATGTGCATGGAAGATTAGCATGAGTTCTGTTCCTACAGGTATCTACAAGAAGTGGGCTACACGGACACGATATTGGATGTGAAGTCAAAACGAGTGCGAGCTTTATTGGGCCTCTCAAGTGATGCTTCAGAAAAAGAAAACAGAAATCAAGAGCCGATGGTAAATGGCACAGAGGGCCAGATTAAAGAAAGCACAATGATCGGGTAAGCATCAAGATGACGTTATCTTTATGTATAAATGCACTTAATGCTGTTGAACAAAATTTTTGTTTACCGGGAAGATTTCAGGGTTCCCTAGTTGGAGATTAGAACAATTGTGGCAAATTTCATTATATTAAGCAATAAGTATGGAAGTAACTCTTGAGATTCACATCTTAAAAGCACCATAAATTATTTTTTTTAGTTGAATGGCAGCACTAAGTCAAATCAAACCTCTTGAGATATGGTTACAAAGTGTTTAGAAGTCGGCATTGTTTCAAGTTAATGGTTTATTTGTATTGCTGGAAACTTTTCTGAGTAGACTGCAGGCTTTGCCTTTCTGGTCTGTGCTGACTGTGACATGATAATCTATACAAGAGACAGGATTTTTTTGGACTGAATCTGAAAAATGAAGTCAATTATTACATTCTGAGTCCTGTAAGTTTTTGATTTTCCACTGATGAATATACATAGGTAAATGTGACTCCATGTAAGGTACCAATTTCTGTCTTTTAATATTTCTAATACTATAGAAAGTCAGTCCAAGACAGTAAAAACTTAAGCTTACTTTTGCTTTTAAGTAATGTTGAAAACTTAGGGGTCTTTTTTCCTTTTTCTTCTCTTTTCCATGCAGAGTTTAAAAAAAAAAAAAAAGAAAGTTAAACTTAACTGTAAAGGCTTCAGGAAAATAATCTATTTGTTTTTGTTTAAGATATTGTAGTTGCAAAACTAGAAAAATAATGAAAATCATGCAGAATTGTATGAACAATAGATGAGGTAGCTGCTTCCAGTAGTTTGTGCTGCATCAACAAGTATAGCATTCCTCAAAGATTATCACTCTTTTTTTCTTTTCTATACTGATGTGATAAAATTCAAGACCTTTATTTTCTAAGGTCTAACACTGTTATATGAAAGAGTCTGTCTTTTAAAAAGCATTTGTAAAATTTCACTTATACCCACCAGATAGTTGCAGCAACTTCAGGCCAAAAAGTTACATAAGGGCAGAAGTTCATTGTTATGTAATTAAATTTAATGCTGTGAGGTGGAAAATTTGAACGTTTGAGAAAACCTGTAAACTACTAAAATATATTGTACTGTTACATAGTTGACAAGTCATGTCAATTCTGTACAGCAACTTTGTTTTTAAGAACAAGGAATGCTTGATAGATGGCAATAACAATTTTGGTTTTATTTCTGGTGAAGGGATCACTTCCTCTTATAGGAAGTGGGTAAACAAAACTTCTCTTCTTACACTTCAAAATTTATTTATATGTATTTACTTAGTTTTGAAACAGATGTATGTATAAGTTAGCTATTTGATGGATGAAATGTTGAGACAGTGGTTTTGATATAGCAGTTTTGGATACATTTGCATTCCTTTCTTATCTATTTGCTTTTGGGGTAGATATGATATTAGGTTTAACACTTTGTAGTTTACTCCATGGCTGAGGACATTCACTGGTGCAGAAAAATGAGCTCCCTTCCATTGTAGTTCTGCAAGCTTGTGTGCTGCAAGGCTGGCCAGGCTACACACTTTGTAAAGCTGTTTTCATTTTGCTGGTGATGCATAAGATGGCAGACTCTATTAGAAAGCTCAGGGGAGCATTTTGATAACATGATGAGCAAGAAGGGACTCCAGGGTTTTACAGTGGAAGAATTTTCCAGGGTTCTTATTCAGCATAGTCATGTCAGTCTTCATGGGTGATTCTGAGTTTGTGGATGTCCTCACTGAGGATCTCCCTCACTGAGGGGAAAAAGTCGTGATTTTATGAAAATTCCTTGATCAGTACAGGACTAGCTTTCAATGCTGTTATTCTTCTGAGTGTTTCAATTACACTTTCAGACCATCTCTTCCAATTTACCTTTCAGGAAGCATTCTGTGGCTTTCTTCCTGGCAGAGGCTGCCTGTTATTTAACAGCTATTTTATCTTGTGCTACTAGATACTGTAAAATGTTACACCTTGCTGTTTCTGTGGCATGTGGCGCTGTTCACCTCCTCCCAACTGCATCATCACTTGCCTCTGAGATTTCGAAGTGCAGCTTTATGTTAGATAAGAAATCAGAAATGTTACGTGCCTCATCTATTGACAAGAGACATTACTTAAACATATATAGAACAGCTTCTTTTTGAAAAGTATTAGCATTGAATAGGTCACTAAGATTTAAGGCACACTGATCTTGCTCCTAAACCCAACTGAAATTCCTACTGAGTGTCTGAAAATTTAATTCAATGCTTTTCTACCTGGCTGGCAGAACTGGGAAAAATTTAGGTTACTCCGCTAAATTGTTGCTTACAGTTGAGGAAGGTGCACCCTTTGGAGCAAACTCACTAGCACTAGGCTGCTTACTGTGAAGGCAAAAGGATTGGCAGTTCTTTAGCAGCCTCTTGCTATTCCTTGCATGTATGTAAAGCGAGAAATGGATTTGGGCCACAGCAAATTTGTACAGTTGGAAGGAACGCAATGAACAAGTGTTTGCAGTTTTGTAGTGGTAGAAGAAGAAGGTTACAGTGAGAAAATGGAAAAACAAGAAACCAAACAAAACCTTAGTGCAATTCCAGGAAGTTTAAGGACACGTGTGAGTGGTTGCCAGGACCATCAGACATTGGGACAGTTACAAACTAAAATGCAGATGGAAGACTCTGTAACTGTACAGATACAGTGAAAATCTTTGTAGGAGAAAACTTTACTATCGCCACAGAAGCCTGTGAACTGCTCAAGCCAATGCTGTTTGGCAGATTTTTTGGTTCAAAACATTTAATGAACTTTGATACATATCTGCTAGCAATTCTGAGGCCAGTGGTCAACCTGAAGATGTTTTAGTTACATTTGAGGAGCAGAGCACTGGGCAAAAAGTGATACATGAAAATAAATGTAGTCTAACAAGGAATGCACCTCTGTTGAAGTGAGAAAAGACAACTCATAGTGTGTTTGATTTGTTTGATCTTGGAAGAACTGTGTAATATGGACCCAACTGAGTGTGGATTTTAGGTCTGATTTTTAGAAAAATCTTTACATGGAATGAAGAATGTGAGAAACAGAGAGTACAGGACTTGAGTAAAGAGAAAGCTTGTGCGGGAGAAATGATAAAGACAAATCAATAAGAGTTCAGAAAGAATATGGGTGAATGTGATGAAGACAATGTACAATAGAGGAGAAAAACTACAGGCTAAAACACAAGGAATATAGTTTCAATGATGCATTTCAATAGCAGGAAGATGGAAGGCACATTAGCTTTTAATTTCCTAAAGATTTATTCATATAGCAGTGTAAATTGGAGAAAGAACAGATTGGCTAAACTGCCTTCCATACAACTGAACACCAATGTGATGAATCCACAAAAAATTAAAAATTGATATTCGATGCTTTTATGCATATAAACCACATAACCAAATGGTTATCTCTTTGGGGAGAGAGGGAGTAATGGAAACAGGAAGCAAAGCTTCCTTTATGTTTTGACTATTGTTTTTTGGTAATCAATCAATACTTTCTTAGTGAAATGGAAGAGCTGTGGAGAACAAAATAAATTAGTACTGAAAGAAATTCCAGTAAAAGAATGGGAAAACTCCTTCTCAACACAGTCTGATTTTAGCACAATTTTTTGTGTAAGCCTATTAATTTGTGCATAGTACTACTCAGCCTCCTTCAGCAATACCTCTCATCGACCTCTGGCTGTACTTCTGACCACAGCAGAAATCCACACTTCTCTTATTTTTTAAATTTTTTTTTAAATGCCTTTGATTGTTGTGAGGATGCCCTGGCATTTTCCCTCTGACCTCGGAGATGTGTGAAGTGTATACTTTGTGGTGTGCAGGGAGGATATTCCTCCTCTGTTCAGCTTACTACATCCTTTACAGATTTTGAGTTGTTTGTTATACCAGAACTTGCCTATTATATGAGTTATATCTTGTTGTCTGTCCTTCATACCTATTTCAACAGCTGGGGTTTGGACACCTCAAAGTTCAGCCTTTTTATGGGAAAGGTTGGTGAGAATGCTTGGAGTAATTATTGTGAAGTTGATGCTGTTTGCTTTGGTATGTAGAAGCATAAGATGGTTACTGTAGTGGAAATACTTAATATAACAATATTTATTTGCAGCAGAGAATATGTAAATTGACTTCTACTAGACCTCATGCCTCTCAGCTTAATTTTGTGTATCTTAAAGGGTTGCAGTTACATCAGAGACCTTCCCCTTTTGGTACAGTGATGAACAAACTATTGTTGTCTGAATTTCTTCATCCTTAGGTGAAGTAGCTTCAGACTTTGTGTTACTAGCTGCTACATCTGTGCCTAAACTTGTATTCTTACATTGCCTATTTATTTGCTAATGCACAGATCGTCTTGAAAACTTTAGCACTCAAGATATCATGTGGATTTTGAATGCACCCTGCAAGATTTTGAATCCATAAGTGAAATGTTAATATGATAACGTGAGCTAGATATAGTCCTGTTTTCACTTATTTCATGGAATGTAAAAGGGAATCAGTTTTCAGTTTCTTCAATCAGCTCACTTGCATTACAAAAGATAAGTACCACTTGGCATGACTGGACTCAAAAATAGATACTAAAATAATAATCTCATAATAATGGTTTAAATTCTTAACACTTGCAGTGAGAGAAATGGGTGCTTTCCCCCAACAAACTGAAGCAGAAATGAAAGCTGCCTGCAAACATCATTTGTAGCCTTGAAAACATGACAGTTACTTAAGTGTCTTTAGTTCACTTATTACCTCATTTTTAGTAGTTTTATGTTAGTGAGTGAAACCTAAACAGTCAAATTAGTTTACCTTCTTGGAGGTGTGTATTTGATGTGAGTGGAAGCAAATATAATAAAAGAACAGAACTGGAAAGGAATGAACATATGCCAAACATATGTATGTATATACATATGTATGAATGTGTGTATATATAAAATGGTGCAGGTAAATTATCTGAGTTCTTGCTATGGGTTTGATCATTAGAACTGTAAATAGCCAATAGAAATTTTTAAAGAAAAACAGTTCTGGG